CTCTTGGCCCCGATCTTCACTTGAGGCCGGCCTGTGGTGGACTCGTAGATATCAAAGAGGTCTATCTGTATGCGCTCTACCAACCGGTCGTCAGGTGGCGGGTTTTCTTGGGCCTTTTGGTGGTATTCCTGTGCTGAGCTAGAGTCGTAGTGGTGGTGATGACGGCGATGAGGAGGAGGAGGAGGAGGAGGAGGAGGATGGTGGCGGTGGTGATGGTGATGATGGTGATGATGAGGGGCAGGGGAAGGGGAAGGGGAGGGATGATGATACAAAAGGGACGAGGGATCATGGATTCTCCGCTTGGAAGACATCACGACACGCGGCCTCGTATAGGAAGAAAGCTTGAAGTCTGATGTTCATGACCCGTGGGCAGCAGTAGATTCGAGGCACGGCCAGACATGTCGCGAGGCCCAGCACATGGAGAGACAGTAGACGGGTGCCTCTAGCTAACTATGGGTAGGTGGCCGGGGCCGGGGCCGCATTTTGAGGGCATTTTGAGGCTCTGTGAGCTTGGGTTGTTCGCCCGACTTGTATCACTGATGGCTGGGTTGCGGGGAAGCTTAATCGGGCGTCCTACAAGGTTTCAAGGACGAGTCGAGGTGGCCTATAGAATCTGCATATGCGAGATGCGAGAGTCCTAAGATGCAGCCAGCGCCCAATCGTCTGCCGGCTCGCCTCCCCATGTGGCTTGAGCCAGCCATGTACATACTACATGATTGGTGTTCTCTCTTCCATATCTTCAGTTGAGGGTAAGGACTCGCTCCGACCTTTCCTAGCATCGATCGAGTCGAGGGAAATCATTCCGTCTCTAGTCGGTGTTGCTTGTTCCAACGATGGTGATCGGTATGCGTTATGTACGTATGCGCTACCTAAGGTATGTAGGTAGGTAATGTTCTTACGGCTTGTGATACATGTAGGTACATGTCCCTCACTTACAGAATATACGTACAGGCGCACACCTTTCATTCGGCTCATTCGGCCGCGCGGGAGTGGAGTATACGAGTACATGTACTAGGTAGGCATACTCCGTACTCTGTAGATAAGGTGATAACTATAGCAATATCCCGATGTCTGTTTGATTTCACCGCGCATCTCGTCATATATAGCCAGAAGATCTATTTATTCTCTTCAATTAGACTGCCTAATGCGGCTCTCCCAAACAACTCATTTCCATGATTTATTGACCTGTCCGGGCCTGAACATCAGTAGTCTATATAGGTGACCTGGGGATTATTCCTTGGTCTGGGAGGATAGGAGGTATCTATGTGCGTAGGTCATCCGCTTCTAAAGCCAATACCTATATGTATCTACCTCAGTACCTACCCTACCCAGCCTTACTTAGCATCCTAGATAGCTTTCATCATGGTAAATAGAGCGGATTCAAATAACGGCAGAAATTGAAATCAAATTTGAACACGGGCAGTCATAGTTTCTCCCTTTCTCGGTATTTCAGTGGTTCTTCTCAGAAGGTCACATAAGATTCCAAGGGTAGAACTATGGCGAGTTTGATTAGTTCCGTTTGAATCAGTATGAAATAAGATGATGCGCTAAAGTGATACGGCGTATAGGTAACCTACTGTAGGTAGCTAGACTATCTAGCTGCTTACCTCATAGGTAGTATACCATAAGTGTAGGCCTACTATGAAGGGACCTAACCTAATCTAGGTAGCCGACTTCCTAAGGAGACTAGCGCCGGGAGACTAGAAATAAGCAAGTAGTTCAAGCTAGCGTCTTGGCCATCCTATTTCCTCAAACGGTGTTATCGAGGTCAACACCTACATATGTAGGTAGACTACCACTACAGAGGTGCCAATGGGATCAACAGCCTCGAGTACGCAGACATCTTGGCCCGGCGACAACTGTCATAAGCCTCTCGATGGTCACACTTCATGCATCATGGCATTACGGCATCACCGGCATCACGGCATCGGCTGCTGATCCGAACGGCCCTGCCTGGTGCTGAAAGCCTGCCTACCTATGCATAGCCTCCCGTCGCTGGAGACGATCACCATGTCCCAGGCAATAGCAACGGGGATACCTATCCCCGCCTGCCCAGGCAACGTGAAGACTTGAATGACTATATCTCGTTATATTACGTCAGGTCACGGCTGGAGACCCGGGGGAACTCTTGTATACGGCGTACCTAGACGGACGGGGGACTGACTGACGGACTGGATAACCATGCTAATAGGATCATATATGTATATATAAATATGACGACCACTTTCTTACTTCTTTCTGCCTTGGTCTATACTTCAGCCCTCATACTCAACGCCTCAGCTGTTACTCTACCGTCTCCCTCACTATTTCCCTCGTTGTTCTTTCATCCATATCCTGCACCCTTAGCTGGCTCTAGACGCCATGTCGTTGTCTAATCTCCCTACTCCCTTCGGAGCCGTCACGCTCCTATTAGCGGCCACGGCCGCCACGGCCCACGGGACACTTGCGCATCAAGGCCGAGTGGCGGCACAAGAATACCCAACGACTAGCATACAATGGCAATCGTGCTCAGCTGATATCAACGCCGTAGCGGCCCTGGATGTAGACTGCGGCACCCTGACCGTGCCGCTTGACTACACAGCCCCCGACAGCACCGATACGCTCGAGCTATCACTCGTGAGAGTCCCTGCCGTGAACAAGCCCGCTAAGCATAGTATTCTCTTCAATTTTGGAGGCCCGGGGGCTGAGGCCCGTCATACCCTCGCGGAACTGGCCGATATGCTCCAAGCGTAAGCCCCCTGCTTAGAATTATGTTCTCTTGGCGCACAGCTGTTTCTTCCCCGCGGATGAAGAGGGGCGTAAGAAGACGATGTAGAGAGGATGCCGGGGACACATGGGGGCATAGCTGACACACTATCTTTTGAATTATATAGTGTCACCGGGGGCGAACACGACCTCATCGCGTGGGACCCCCGCGGTACGGCGGAAACGCTCACATTCTCGTGCTTCGCCAACGCCACGGATCGCGCTGCATTTAATTCGCAGTTTTACTTGGGGAATGCTTCCGACGTTGCGCGCGGCGCTATTTGGGCAGCCGCGAAGAACTACGCCGACATCTGTGCAGAGTATCCGGAAGCTCAGGAGAGAGCTCCCCTAATCAGCACCGCCTTCACGGCTCGTGATGCTATGCAAATCGTAGATGCAGTCGAAGAGGATGGGCTACTGCGATACTGGGGTTAGGCTCCTTCTCTCTACCTTTGGATAGAAAGGACAGGCCTGTGTAGATGACTGACATATGGGAAACTCATGTAGGTCTATCATACGGCACCGACCTGGGCGTCACGTTGGCAGCGTTGTTCCCGGAACGAGTCGACAAGGTGTTGATCGGTAAGCATCAGAAGACCTCGGGTTAGGCATGAATCGAGATGACTAATGCTTCATTTCAGATGGTGTCTTCAACCCAACCCAGTACTTCTACGAGAGGTAGGTCCTTTCCTGACAGATTCACCTCGGCCCCGAGGAAGATGGCAGTGGCTATATATAGTGTGGTTGACGCCACATTAGGACCGACTCAGAGGGCTTTGCATCAGCCGACGACACGTTCTCCGACTTCTTTCGTGAGTGTGTCTCGACGCCTGATGCCTGTGCTCTCGCGCGCAGCCACCCCAACACTACGGCCAAACAACTCGAGTCGGCGGCTTACGACCTCATCGAGGAACTCAAATACCGGCCCATTGCTCACCGGGGCGCCGTTCTCGGCTACCAAGAGCTGAAGAGCGTAATCCGATTTGCGCTCTACACCCCCTATACGTGGGTAACCCTCGACAGCATCCTGGATGCCTTTTTTGCAGAGCCACGGAATGAAACGCTTGCAGGAGACGCTCTGAATACATTCTTATCCGCCTTCCTGGGTGGTATAGCGTCGGCGAACGACGCGGGCGTGGGTATCGAGTGTGTGGACAAGGCGCCCCGGTCGAACTCGTTCGATGTCATCAACGCTGCCTTTGACCAGGCTCAAGCCGCCAGCCGCCTGCTGGGCGACTCCCTATTCGCGCTGATCGCGGGATGTGCACAATGGACGCTAGAGCCGCGGGAGCGGTACATGGGCGGGTTCGAGAGTGTCAAGCCCCGGAAGCCCCTGTTGGTGATTGGCAATACCTACGACTCGGCCACGTCGATCAAGTCGGCCAGGAACATTAGTGAGACGATCGAGGGCAGCGTCTTGCTCGAGCACGGCGGTGTCGGTGTACGTTGATCCTCTTCAAACCCCTTTCCCTTTCCCTTTCCCTTTCCCTTCTCTCCTCCTATTTCTATTCGTTCCTGTTCATTTCTGCTGCTACTTTTGCAACCACTGACGGGCCTGCCTACATTTGAAACAGCACACTTCTATCCAGCAACCTTCCCTATGCACGGCCAGGGCCATTCAGAGCTTTTTCCGGAACGGCACTCTACCCAAGCCGAACACCTTATGTGCCCCTGTCGCGACACCCTTCAGGTTTGCCGTGTCCGGCCCGACGTGGCAAGACCTGTTCCCGCAGCTGGGCTTTGAGCCACCTAGCAGTAATGGCACCCAAGCCGCCCGTGTGAAGCGGCGTGGCCATATCGGGGATGTCTTGAAGAACATCGGCCAGCATCCAGGCAGATTATTCTAGTAGGTGAAAATGATAGTGGTGGGAGATGCCCACATACTATCTAAACCATAGATAGTGGGCAGTTGGCGATATAGTCGGCGCCTATTACATGTTGCAAGGGGCTTTCTTTTTTCCTTGGTAGCTTGCTCACATCCAGAGCCAAAATGTATTATATATTATCACTACTTACATGTTAAACGATGGGTTAAACCAAGGCAGGCCGTCGTTCCTCAACACGTCTTCATATATATTACCAGCGATACTCTCGTATTCCCCGCATCTAGATCGACCGTTAATAGCATTTGTATATAGCAAGCAGGAAGCCTTTTGCTTCTTCTTATTACCTATCCACCTACGGACTACTGACCACCCTTTCACTCAATTGGGAGATTTTATGGCCGCTGCTCTCCCATAGCATTTGGCATCATCGCCCTGGTAGCTCAATTGGTTAGAGCGTCGGACTTTTATAGGTTTTCCATCTGTAACGGTCATCCGAAGGCTGCGGGTTCGACCCCCGCCTGGGGCGACATGCAGCGAAGAGATGATTACAAGCTAGCTAGCTCAGTGGAAGAGCGCCGGGCTCATAACCCGGAGGTCGATTGATCGAAACAATCGCTAGCTAAGAACAAATAACATCTGCCGCCGTGCGACGGGCAGATGAGTTGATACCTTTTTTTTGCGGGTAGGGTAAATAGATGATCTTTTCCAGCAGCGTTTGTTGATCAATAAAAAAACCGTCTCCAGTACCTACTACACTTTATAGATGATATACTAATCCAGTGCGTGGGTATTGAGTAACTAGGTAGGTAAATAATAATAGTCCGCTGTATATATGCTCTCGGTCCCAGGGTCAACAAGGTCTAGCTTACGGTAATGGAGTTTAATGACGGCCTATTCATCATTAGGTATGAGTATTTGCTGTCGGATCTTGATAAGTCGGGTACATATAAAACATACGTACATCGATATTACTAGGCTCTACCTATGTCATGGGTTTCATGTAGCAAGCGGTGCCGGTGAGATGGATGGTCAGTAAGTCTATCGACGAGCACGATCTTGCCTCCTGGTCGCACGGCTGGCCTGAAGATCTTGATCCAGTTCGGTTCCCCGTTCATCTCGTCGATTTCCTCGATATCTCGCGCTGTGATGCCGTCGTACACGGCGTGGAAACTGTAGCTTTGCAGTCCAGCGAGCATGAGCATCTGCAACTGTAGGTGGCGACCCATTTCTCGCGCTCTCTCTATTACTTGGGCCTTGGCGAGGCATCTTCGCTCCGTGTTTACGTCGTGGCTATAAATCCGTAGATCAAGAAAGACGCTCTCCAAGTTAGTCATACGAGACCAAGATAGCCACAAGTGAGCCGACCTATCAAGATCTAGCGCATCGTTGAGCGTGTCTGGGTCGACCTCATGGCTCACGTGCCCTGCCCATTTCAAGCTTTCGGCGTTCACTCGCATCAGTTCCAGGGGAGAGTGGACGGCCACGTGGCGAAGGTGTTGATAGATCGGGGTCGCGGCAGCTTTTCTCCTCGTAGCTTCGTCAAACGGCTCGTCATCGAACGGCAGTATGCTCTTTACTCTTTGACCTCGGAGAGGCTGGAGAGGGCCCCCGTTGTTTCCGAGCATTTCTTCTACGGCTCGGCTGGGAAGGCTCGTCGTCGTGCCGAGAGTGAAAACATGGGTATGGCCGCGGTAGTAATTTCTCGTATACTCCGAGGCGAAGCTCACGTTCACAGTGACTACATTTTCGTCGAAACTTCGTGTAGGCGTCAGTATATGATCATCGTCCCCGTGCTCGGAGGTGTGTGAAAGAGTACCTACCTGAACGCCCATGCTCCGCACATAGGTGACGATTCTAGTGATCCTCGACGATTTCTCGAGCTCAGAGGTTCCTCCGGCGCAGATTTCCCAGTCGGGAACCACGAGGCTAAGAGCACACCTGGGTTCAGCTAGCTGGGCATGAGAGATGATCATAGCCACAATCTCTAGTGGAAGATATAAGCTATTGCGCCTACTATAAGAGCTGTCGACAATGTTAGAACAGATAGTAGCCGTGCTGTCGATTGAGGGTACTTGGGCTGCACAGGGGTGGTTTACCGCGGTAGATACTTTCCGTGTGAGATTCCAAGAGGTCATGTTTCGCTTTGTTGGCGCGAGGGTGTGCACCTCTCGTCCTGACCCTCGAACCGCCCCGTCATCGATACTTTCGAGGATAACCTCACTTGCCGGCCACGCCAATGCGAAGTCCAAGGTGTCGGTGGGGTTTCCTGTAACAGACTGTGGCGGTAGCAGAGACGAGGAATCGTGAATCATGCCATGTTCGATTGTGAGGCCTAATCGGTCCTTGGATACACGGCCAGACATGACAGAATGCTTTATTAGTCGATGTTACGTTGAAGCGGAAAACCGTGGTAATAGTATTGGTTCGATAAGGTCAGACTGCGCGCACCCCTTTGAGGTTAAAGAAGAATACCTACTTATAAGGCCTTTGTCCTTTTTTACATGGGAGCACATTATACGATGGATGAGTTGAAAGACTTGCATCTGTGTTCCAAACAAGGGGTTTGTTCTCGCACTTGATTCGTGGCGCAGGCGAACCGACAGAACACCGCTCCTTGTTGGAGAGGCGTCTATCTATCATCTATCGCCACAACACCATCGATTGATAGCTGGAGATCAACCACGTCTGCTCGTATTAGTAATTACGTTATTCTAAAGCAGCCAGGGAACTCGTGTTTGGAAGGTCGTAGGTTGCTGCAATGCCAGTGAAGGCAGCGGCGAGTATGTGAGCTATACTAGACATTCGAAAAAATCACGTTAGTTCTCGAGTGTGGTGAATCGTGTGTATATATATTAAGGGGTGGGTTTATTCGCTTCTATCTAATAGCAGGTAAACCCCAGCGGCATGGTCAGTCAGCCTCAAACGAAGCACTGAGCAACGCTGTTTGGTTCCCCGCCTCCCGAATGTAATACGAATAGAAAGGGAGAGAAATCGAGCCAAGCACCCTTGACATAACCTACAACCTAGACCGGGTGGCAATTCTCGAGACGGTAATGCGTGGCAGTGAGGTTGCGTATCAAGTCACTATCCCTATTCCTCAAGCCAAGGGTAGCGCGTGCGCAGCATGATGCCCCGAGCAGCAAGTGATAGGCCCCGAGATGGATGGGTATGGGAGAAGGCATGGAATGATCCGGAGATGGCAAGATAGTATTCATCGGAATCCAACATGGATTAGTTCGGAATTTGTTGAATGCGATGCGGGATGGAGTCGACTTCTCGGTATAGTTGGCAAGAGACAAGGTCCAATACGCCTATTATGAGGTAGGGTAGATATGTGCAGTGAAGTAAAGAAGTTGTCGTTCAACGACAGGCTGGTGGTGACAGTGGTGCTGGCGCTGGTATTATCGTGGTATCATAGCATCGTGGTATCGTAGCATCGTGGTATCGTGGTATTATCGTGGTATCATACTCCGTACTCAGTTTGGCGACTACCTACTCGTATAGAGGCATCAAAGTGGAATGAATAGAGTGGCCAGTGCCCCATGTCGGCCAACATACGTGATTCCTCGGTGGGGGGATCCCGGCACCTATTATCATATGAACTTTGATAGCACTAGATATTAGGTGCTGTATCGCATGGTTATCAACCATAGACGTCGACCACGAAGCCCTCTGCCGCGACCTCTTCAATCGCCCGAAGCCCCCAGTTGGGATCATTACCGTACCTGGCGGCAAAGCGCGGGTGGATGCGCAGGGGCAAGCGAGGGGTCGGTGATGATGATGGTTTGTGGGCCGTCAGATGTCCCATCGATGGATCTGGTAGTGTCTCGAGCGCCTCGCTGGCGTCCTTGGGCCCGAGGAGGTTAGACGTGGCCGTGCTATGGCTTAATAATAATACATGCTGGGCACTCGCTGCGTCCTCGCTCTCGCTCTCGCTCTGGGCTGGGCGTCTATCAGTTGGTATCATGAACCACTGTTGTGCGTAGTTAGCATCTGTTCAAGGCGTACGACGTTGTTGTTGATGATGATGATGATGATGATAGATTAATACTCACGGCATCACCATCGCACAGATCCGCAGGCTCATCGCACTCGGAATCGCCGTCGGAGGCATTTGATGTGCAAGGCGCACTGGCTCTTGTACGATGAAGCGGACCACATGAAGCGCCGCAGCAGCTCGCAGGAAATGTCGTGTCGTGCGCTGCTGCTGCTACTACGGTGCTGGCTGTTGACTGACTGTAGATAGAGCAGCAGTCGTCCTCGCTGAATCCCGGTGAAACCTCCCAGCAGAGAGAATCCGCATCCAGTTCAGGTGCTATCTCTGGCATTTCCTCGATGTCGGCGTTGTTGCTATCATTGTCGCTGTCGTCGTCACTACCCGAGATGATATCGTCGAAGCCATACTCATCATACGAGATCTCGGTGCGGATACGCTCGTTGACAGGCCCGAACGCCTGCCCCAGCGGCGGCGGCGGAGAGCTGGCAAGCAATCGTGCGCCGTAGTAATATCTCTCGCTCGGCGCCTCCTTCGTGATGCCGAATTTCTGCTTGAGAAACCCGAAAGCACGCGACCTAGGTGACGACGGCATCTCGAGGCCTGCGAAGTCGCCCGTGGGCGCTATCAGTGCATTCGAGGATGCATGCGGCCGGAGAAATCCAAGGAAAGGCATGCTGATATCGATGGTACCGGTCCGGGCACAGGAGGTGGAAGCTCTGCGAGTGCTAGTTTGGTATAAGAGTGAGTGTGCAACAGGAGTTGCGATGATGAAGTTGGCAAAGCGAAGCTCAATAAGGACGTGATAGGAAGGACGCAGTTGTATGACCGATCACGGGCGGCGAAGAGGTTGGTATTTATTAAAAACAAGGTTCTGGAAGTGAATGGTTGGGTGAATAAACAATGGAATAAACAGATGGACAAGTGAGTGAATGAACAAATGAGCAAATGAGTGAATGCGTGAGTGAATGAATGAATGTATGTATGTATGTAGCGATACGGGGGTAGGATTTAACCTACACACAAACATATTCAAGTGACGAGATGAAAGCGTCTGTAGAAGAATAGGGGAATTGGGCGTGAGAGGAACCACGTACTGGAGTTGCTGAATTGACCAGTGTTGTAGTCAGGACTGCACAACAGTCTAGGCACCAGAAGACACAGAAACTATAATATGGCCTTGCACGTATGATTGCACGTGTAGGGGAGAGTAGAGGGGAGTAGAGAGGGGAGAGGAGAAGGGATGCACGGCGCTTTCTAGTAAACAATGTGATGACAATCAGGCTGAGGTTTGGTCATGTCGGCTATGTAGAGTAGAGGAGAGTAGAGTAGAGCAAGGCAAAGAAGGCGGCCAACACCAGAAAGGATCGTCATGTAGAGCAGAGAAACCAACCCATTTACCTTCGTCTTCGTATAGGCCTGTGCCCTTTGATTATTGATTTACTCACCTGACTAGACGGTATCGTTGACGAGGCTGGATAGTAAGTCATCATCTATATAGACTATGAGGGTATTTAGGCATGGTGGCATCA